GCCTTCACACGGGGACCCACTTTTCCTACAACTGCCATTAACCTTTGCTGACTTACTGTGGTACCAGGGATCGGACCCAGGGCTTTCACACTGAGCTGCATCCCCGGACTTCGTTTTTTAGTTTTGAGACAGGGTCTTGCTAAGTTGTTAAGTTGCCCAGGCTAGGCTCAAACTTGCCTCAGTCTCCCAGTGTGCAGGGACTGCGGGTGTGCCCTGAGTTCCATTTCTGGCACCAAGAGGCAAAACAAAATATAACAAAGCAAAAACAACAAGCAGCTTATTGACCAGGCACCCCTGGGCAACCCAGAGGCCCAGGCTGCTGGTGACCCAGAGCTTTGCTCCACAGACGCCACCTAGAGGCAGCTAGGAGACACAGCAGCGGGGAAGACAGGCCTGAGACCCCGCCAGAGTCCTGGTGGGACTGTGGCCACCAAAGCTACCTTCCCAGTAGGGCCTGCGTCCCTCATCCCCTCACCCCTTCAGAGGACAGCTTGCTCAGGCAGCTGCTTGGAGGACCCAATCACACCTCTGGTTCCTGGAATCAGGAGGGAGACACCAAGTGGAAGGTGACATGGCTTGCTGCTGTGGCCTTTGAGCTCAGTGACTTAAGACTGGATTCTGAGTTTATTCTTTTGCCATGTACTGGGCCTCGGGACTGTAATGAGCCACTCTGACCTGTGGCCCAGCGCCTGCTGAGTGTCATCCACAGTGACCTTGAACCACCTCCCACCCCTGCCTCCCCAGCAGAGAAATGGAGGCTTAGTGAACGCCTGTCCCAATGTGGCAATAGGATTGGGACCAAAAAAGTCAGGCTCTAGGGTCAAGGACCCCAGTGCCTGTGCCTCAGGTTCATGATTTCCCACAGAAGAAACTGAGTCCTACAGAGGTGTTTGCAGGAGGCCTCTCTTCTCTGTCCTGGGCCAGCCTGTGCTGGGCAGTCCATCCACACCCCCGGGGGTGTTCCTCCCCTCAGGCAGCCCTCAGGAGCTAAAGGGCCTGACTTGGCAAGCAGCAAAATCCCAACAGTAGTGGTGGTGCTGCCCCTCCCTGCCCCTACCCTCTCCTGCAGCTGCAGGGCCATGGCCAGTCCCCTGGGTCTCCCCTGGCCTGTTTCTAGTCTGCGGCACCCAAGGGTGCTGTCTGGGCTGCAGCCCAGGCTGTGGGGGTCCCAGTTCCTCCCACAGGATCCGCCTGGCCAGCCTCCGGGAGGAGCTGCTCCTGCTGTGTGCACTCCCCTTCCCCATCCAGATTTTTCTCAGTACTGGGGATCGAACTAAAGTCTTTCTGCTGAGCTACATCCCCCCACCCCATATTTTATTTTCTTGGAGGCTTGTCTTACTAAGTTGCCCAGGGTGGGGTCCAACTTGTGATCTTCCTGCCTCAGCCTCCCTAGTGCTGGATTTGCAGGTGGGCGCCACCATGCCCGACTGTACCCCTACTCTTGGCTTATGTATGTATGCACATATGTGTTATTATCCTGGGAGTTGAATCCAGGAGCTTGCACAGGCGAGGCTAGGCTCTACTGCTGTGCTTTACGCCCCAGCCCTTTTATTTATTTGAGACCTGGCCCCACTCTGTTTTCCAGGTTGGCTTTGAACCCACAATGCAGCCCAGGCTGGCCTTGAACTCAGTGGTTCTCCTGCCTCAGCCGCCCAAGTGCTGGGACTACTGGTATGCACCACTGTGCCAGGCTATCCTTATTTTGAGACAGGATCTCACTAAACTGTACAGGGTGGCACTCTTCCTGCCCCAGCCTCCTGGGTAACTGGGAGTACTGGCATGTGCACCCTGCTCAGCCACTTTCTCATCTTTAAAATCAAATCCAGCCTCCTGCACATAGCTTAGCGCACTTCTCTTCCGGTCTCCACTTTGCTCTCCCAGAACCACACCTTCCTCCTGGGCCTCCTGGTTCCTTTCCACTGTGGGTGGCATCACTGGGACTTCTCTGAGCTCAGCCCTGCCTGCAACCTCCTTACACCTCCTCTCCGCTGCTGGCTGGAACTGTGGGTATTGAGAGAAACCCAAAGGGCGGTCTGGTTCTCGTCATCCGCACACTTGCTGAGCCATTGTGGGCTCTCGTTTGTATCCTAGGCTGGATCTGTCCTCTCTCATAGCCATGGCCTCTGAGAACGTCTGGAATTGGCCTCTGGGTCCTCCTCCTGGGGGGACTGTTGCTCCTCCCACAGCTACTACCATGTGGTAGTGGAACTTCAGGTACAAGGAGAGGGAGGGCAGCCGGGCTCAGGTACCCTGGGACCCAGGGGCTTCTTCTGCCTTCAGTCCTGGGATTGAACTTCAGCCCAGAGCCTCTGTGCTGAGCTACATCCCCGTCCTTTTTCTTAGGCTTCAAGATGCAATCTCAGAAGGTACACAGGTTGGGCTCAGACTTGTGAATGTCCGGCCTCAGCTTTCTGAGCTGCAGGGACAGATCCTGGGTCTTAAGGCTAATGTTCCCCTTTTTCCCCTTTTCCTTGCTGCTTTTTGTGGCTGGCTTCATTCTCTGCCAGTATGGACCCCTCCCACACAACGCACACAGGCAAAGTGACCCACAACACACGCAGCTCCTAGCTGACGGCTTCTGCCCCAGGGCTGGGCTGCTGGCCTACTTTCTTACCCCACCATCCCGTCAGTCACCCACGCTCCTACCCACCCACTCTGGAGTGTCCCTCTCTTCTCAGTCCCAGGGGAGGGGCACTTGAGCCCAAGGAGCTTGTGGCCAGCTTGAGGAACATAGGAAGGCCCTTTGCCACAATCAATCAATCAATCAATCAATCAATCAATCAATCCTGTCTGTCTCTTGTCCAAATGCATCTCCAGAGACTGCGCCGCCCAGGTCTTGTCTTTGCAACACTGCATGACTCACACTAACCTGCTCTTCATACATTTTCTCCTTCCTGCTTCCTATTTAGTTTGTCTCATTTGTGGCTAAATCCATCTTTTTTTTTGCTTTTGTATTTAGGACAGGGTGTACAGGGTCTCACTGTGTAGACTGAACTCGTGATCCTCCCGCTTAGAGCCTCCCAAGTGCTGGGATCACAGGCCTGCGCCACCACGCCCGGAGTGCCCTGGAGGTGGGGCCTGCACGTCAGGCCTGGGGATCAAACTCTCCACCCCTGCATCTGCCTAAGCAGGCGTTCCAATCCGCTGACCTATTTGGCCGGCCCTGATTCCTTTCATAGTGCTGGCTGGGACCCAAGATCTTTTCCCTCAAACCCAACATGTCCAAACTTACAGTGCAAACAGGCTCACCTCTCATGCCTGTGGATGTCAGTTACCACTCCCTTGGGCCAGCTTCAAGATTGTAAGGCAAACCATCTTTGAGATAGTAAGTAGGAAAGTCAGTGGTAAACTATGAGGAGCCAGTAACTCTAAGAGGTTATCACATAATCAGTCACGGTGGCTGCCATTGTTTCCTTTAAACTCTTCCAGCTTTTCCTTTCTGCTTCCAGTGTCAGCCCTGCGTCCGGTTCCTCACTAACTGATCCTCTTTTTTTTTTGGTCTTTTTGAGACAGGGTCTCCCTATGCAGTTCAGGCTGGCCTTGAGCTCACTTTGTAGCCCAGGCTAGTTTGGAACTCACAAAGATCCTCCTGCCTTAGCGTCCCAAGTGCTGGGGCTACAGGGGTGCACCATCACGCCGGCCTACTGATTCTTGCAGTCAGCCAGCCAGAGCTGGAGAGAACAAGGGAGCCCATAGGGATCCCTCAGGTTATCAGGAGCCTGCGTCTGGGGAGGGGCTACAGTCAGGAAGCACTGCTGAGGTCCTTCCCAAGCTCTGCTAGAACTGCAGGACACAGTTCCCGGCCACTTCAGGAGATGGTCCTGTAGATCCATCGTTACCAGGTCTCTGGAAATTGTGTCCAGGCTTGCGGGAGAGCGTCTAAGGCTACACTGCAAAGCAGCCCCAAGGACCTAGAGCGCCCTCGAGATGGCCCTGTGGAGACTTCTGGGGCGACAGGGAAGACTGTACACAGGTCGCCATTATGTGACTAGTACTTGTAAAGGCTGCCACTTCATTCGGGTTAGATGGACACAGGCTCCACCTGGCAGTGCCACGAACTGAACTGAACGTAGGGGCAAGGAACGCGGTCAGGCGGGCGCCCTGCGGTGCGCACAAGAGGTCGCGGGGGCCTGCTCTCACCACCGCCGAGCTGTGAGAGCCCGGCGCCATTCACTTTGCTGTGTAACAAAAACATGCTTGGCACATGACCGAAATGACACACATTAAGTAACTACAGCCCGGGAATGCAAGCAGGCGCCGCGGTGTGGCTCAGCAGTGCGGCGCTTGCTTAACATGCAGGAGGTCCAAGAGGAAAATAATTAAATTTCTGCTTTAAAAGCCAGTCCCGGACCTCTCTGTCTTCGGGCCAAGGCCATGGAAATGTAACACTTAAGCACTTCAAATCTTCTGGCAGCTCCATTAACAGATAATACCTGAAAATTTGTTTAAATTACTCATAAAGGCTGTCAGACTGGGGCCGGGGAGATGGCTCAGTAGAGTAAGTGCTTCCCTGGCAAGCGCAAGGGCCTGAATTCAATCCCCGGCTCAAGACTGTCAAACATCCTTAAATGAAAAAAAAAATCAAAGTGTTGTATTTCATTAGGAGGGAGGAATAGGAAAATAAATCCACACACATGGGAAAAACAGTAAACAAATGTGGGCAGTTTCAACACAGTATTCTTTTCAACCCAAGGTATCCACGGTATCATTCAACACATTATTTTCGATGTGAAAATTCATACTTCCTCGCCAAGTCCTCGGGGAACTGTCCTTCCGCGCGAAGCCGGCTGAAGTGGCAGCCTTTACAAGCTCGTTGGTGATGCGTTGCCAGCGCATCCCTCGCGCCTCGCCGCTTGCCCTCCTGAGGGCGAGGCCTTCCTGAAGCCCTCGGATGGGCTCCACGTCACTCTAGCTGAAGCACCCAGGACATCTACGCTTCTTCCGCGGCTCAGCCTTGACGTAAACAGCTCGACGTCGCCCTTTAATGACGCGCGCCTGGGCGGAGGCGGGACTTCCGGCCCCGTGGAGGCACAACTTCCGGGAGGAGGCGGAAGAGGCTCTGAGGGCTGCACTACAGAGCCCCGGGATCACGGAGGGGCCACCCGGAAAGGGCAGCTGGGGCTGGCCAGCCTCACTCGGGGTGTCGGGGTCTTGGGCTTGAGGGATGAGGAGCTGCCATGGCCAGCGACGGGGCCAGGAAGCAGTTCTGGAAGCGCAGTACCAGCAAGGTCCCGGGCAGGTGGGTGTGACCCTGCGAGCCGGGTCGGGGTCAGGGGTCAGAGGTCAGGTGGTCGCGTCGGTCCGCAGGTCCGCGGGTGGAGGGGGGGTCGGCGGAGGGGGATCTGGGCACCCGGGAGAGGAGCCTGGGCGCGGAGCGGACTGCTGCGCGGTGTGAGGGGCGCAGGACGCGCTCAGGCCCGAAGCGGGGTCCGGGAGGTGACAGTGGCCGCACGTAGGGGCAGGGCTTGCCGGGAGGACGCGCAGCCGCAGGCTTCTCCGGAGCTGGCCCTCTGCCTTCTGCCGACTCCTCCGCTCTCTGGGGAGGCTGAAGGAAACGCCTTCGGGTCATGCTCTGGAGAGTTTGGCGGAGTCAGGAAACTGTCCGGGCGAGGACAGTCCCCTGCTGGAACGTCGCCTTGTGCAGAGGGCTTCAAGCCACTCGCCGCGCCTTCCCGTTGTCCTTGTGAGCTGCTGCTTGTGCCCTGAGCGCGGCAGAGGGTTGGGTGCACCCTGTGAATTTCCACTTTCCCACTTGCTGGTCTCAGGACCAGCCCCAATGTCAGCAGCGAGAAGCAAATTAAAAAGATTTTTTTTTGTTTTACAAAAAGCAAATTAAACACCTGAGTGCAACCTGGAAGCTGTGCAGCTGCAGAGCCCTTCTCTAATTGCTGTGGCACTGAGCCCTGGGGCCCTAGGGAATGAGGAGACGTTACGTGGAAAATACCTGGGGTAAAATCAGAGACTAGTGACGGCAGACTAGAGACAGGCATGCTCTGAGATTTCAAAACAGTTTTTTCGGCCCTAAAACTAAAGCCTGAGACATGGAAAATTAAGACTTGTGATATGAACATGTCTTAAGTAGAATCATTCCTCAGCACAGTACAGCCGGTTGCGCTCCTGTGTTTAGTAGCAGGCTCTAGTGAGTGGTAGAAGTGTGAAGTTTAGAGCTCACTGTGCGCTCTTCAGAGTGGTCAGGAGCTAGCAGGAGCTAGCAGGAGTGAGTGACTGCCCAGACAGTGACTCAGAGGGTGAGGGCATCGACAAAGGTGGCCTTTTTCGCCACCAGGAGGGGGCTTGCTTGAACAATTTGAGCTTTCATGGAAACCAGTGTCAGGGTTCAGGGTGAGATGAAGGTTGTGGAGTGGAGGTGGGCAAGAGGTCTAAGAAGCAGCACAGACAAGTGATCTGGAACACAGAATCCAGGGAAGAGGAGCCGCACAGCCCTGTGACTTGGGTTGCTTTCAGGGTTTTTTT